CTTTGGTGATTCACATTCTCACAATCAGAGTTCCATAGTGCCTCAGTTGACCCCAGCTGCTTGCACAATAGTTAATTTTTTTGCTTTTTTCAACCCTGCGGTTGCACAGCCCCAATGCTTCCTGCAAATAAAGGGTGCTCCTATAATTGTGCAGTTACAGCAAATGTTTTAAAGAAAAATCAGGGGAACTGAAAGTGGAGTAACTTTACCATGCTTAGAGATAGGAAGGGGGAGAAAAGGAGGACCATGCCAATTAACACCACATCACTGCCGGAATATCAGAACTGCGGCAGAATGAAACAATAGTTGAACAGCAGCAATACTGGAACTATTAACATTTTTCTCACCAATGTAGTCCAGTAACAATGGAAATGCAATGTAATAAGTCACATTGATGTTTTGTTGCTCATTCGTTCAGTCTTTTTCGACTCTTTGTGACCTCATGGACCAGCCCATGCCAGCTTCCCTTCAAGGTCAATTGATGTACCATAAGGAAATGTCAAACATGCGACCTACATCAGTGCAATCATGCAAAAAACCTATTATATGTTAAAGCAGAACGCTAATATCTATCTCTTCAGCCTCTAGAGTGAGCCATATCACTTCAGTTCCTAAAAGAGACCAAACACCGGGTTGAAAAAGATTCTGTATAATCCAGGAATATCTGGAACTCATCTTGCATTAAAGGCTATATGAACTCTCCTCAGATGTCAAAATGTAACAAGCTCTTCACTTCACTTCACTTCACTTTATTTCTTAATTAGTCGCTCTCCACCAAGGTGCTCCAAGTGACTTACAGTCTAAAATAGCATTTACACAATATAAAAACATTCAACATAAAAACATTCAGCAGTGACTATTTGGCAAATTAGATCTGATTACTTAAATGCACAACCAAACAGCCAAGTCTTGAGTGCCTTTACAAAAGGTCGCAACTCTGATATTGCTCTAATGTATGGAGGCAATGAGTTCCACAGAATTGGAGCATAGGTCAAAAGAGCTCTACGCCTTGTAGCTTCCAGGTGTACCTCGCTAGGACCCGGTATGTATAGGAGATTTTCGTGGGTGGATCGAGGTGACAATTGATGGAGAAAAGGAATGAGGCAGTCTCTCAGATATAAAGGTCCTTGGCCATTTTGAGCTCTAAATGTCAGGATCAGTATCTTATAAGAGATCCGATGTTCTATTGGTAGCCAATGCAGTTGTTGCAGAATCGGTGCAATATGGGATCTTATAGATGATCCCGCTAGCAGCCTGGCTGCTGCATTTTGGACCATCTGAATCTTCTGGGTTGTTGACTTCGGAAGGCCGGCATATAAGGCGTTGCAATAGTCCAACCTCGTGGTAACTGTTGCGTGGATTACTGTTGCCAATGCTTCTACCAAAAGGTAGGATGCCAATTTCCTTGCCTGGTGAAGATGAAAAAAAGGCCTGCTTACTTATGGCAGTTATTTGGGCCTCCATCGTCAGCGATTAGTCCAACACAACCTCAAGGCTTTTAACAGTGGCAGACGGAACCAGAGCTTCCCCATTGAAATCAGGCAGAGACTGGATTAATTCTGGTGGCTGGCCAGGCCAGAGTATCTCAGTTTTAGCAGGATTCACTTTTAGTCTGCTCGCTTGCAGCCAACTCATCACTGCTTCCAAACACAGCCTAAAGTTCTCAGAAATAGCGGTTGTCCCAGGTTCGAGACGCAAAAGTAGCTGGGTATCATCTGCATACTAGTAGCACTCTATGCCAAAACTCCTCACCAGTCCAGCAAGTGGCTGGACGTAGATGTTAAATAACAGGGGCAAGAGGATAGCACCCTGGGGAACTCCACAGCAAAGGCAGGAGCTCTCAGAGCTTTGGCCTAACCACTCCACCCCCTGTCTCCGGTCCCAGAGGAACAAATTGAACCATTTCAGGGCTAAACCTCGTACTCCAGACATAGCCAATCGATAAATCAGGAAGTCGTGGTCCACGATGTCGAATGCAGCTGTGAGGTCCAAGAGTACCAATAGCGCTGATCCGCCTCGGTCTAACTGACGACGAATTTCGTCAGTAATAGCTACCAAGACAATCTCTGTCCCATGACGTGAACGAAAGCCTGATTGAAAGGTTGCTCTGGTTGTTCTATTATATTTACACTACCAAACAAGCCATCTTAGCAAAGTAAAACCTGTTTAAAAAAACTGCATTTGTCTGAGGGTAAGGATAAATGATGATAATGGAGTTTGGTTGGTTTCTTTCTTGAGTGTGATGTAAAACAGATTGTTGTATTTGATTAAATATGTCATACCAACCTTACTTCTTGCACGGTCCCTCCAGCCACATACTCAACCATAACCTGCAGCACCTCATAAGAATAAGAATTTACCTGAAAAGAATTTTGAGGGGTTGTTTTAAAAGTAACCTGTTATATCTTTGCAGGTCAACAAAAGAGGTGAATCAATTTACCTTCATAACCGCCCCAACTATGTAACTATGGGCATTTGTGCTTCCAGCCCAGAACTGCATTTGCCAAACGTGATGTTGCTGGCACATTCAACTCCTCCATCCTCCCAGGAAAATATTTCAACCCGTCCAGCAAGATCAAAGCACGTAGGCTCCGAAGACAAACTTGTACTTACCAGGTGACTAAGTACAGAAGAAGAGTGAATGATTAGGAGCAAATCATGCATCACAGCTGCTTGTTCTGTTTTAGTTTCAGGAAACGGGGCAAAATCTATCCAATTTTCCCCAGACTCTCATACATTGGGCTGGGACTCAAAAATTTCTATTCCTAGGAGCCCTAGTAAGCACACTCAATGTGATAAATGCTAGAAGCTATATTCCAACATTTCAAGTGCCATTTAATTAATTAGGAAATTTAATTTAATCTTCCTAAATAATAGCACATGTCTTATCCTTCAACAGCTATTTAAATCAGGAATTCATGTATTTCACATCATGGGTGATGTTTTCAGCATTAGAAGGAATGGAACCATTCTTCCTGTTGATGGCACTCTTTTCACAGATGGGATGAGTGTGTTTTTCATACCACCTGGTTCTCTAATCCTGCATAAGAGGGTTAGGATACAGAATAATATACCCATCACTCCCCACTGTTATACCAAAACAGAATTATGAACACTAGATGGTTAGATGCAACATTGTCTGCCAAAGAACCTTATTCACATAATAATAATAATAATAATAATAATAATAATAATAATAATAATAATAATCTTTATTTGTACCCTGCTCTATCTCCCCAATGGGGACTCAGTGTGGCTTATTTATTTATTTATTTATTTAAAAGTTTTGTATACCGACCTTCTCACCTCTCTTGAGGGACTCAGACCGGTTTCCAACCATAATATCACATACAGTCAATAAATATCATAATTCATATTACAGCTAAACCTTAAAACAGCAATTACATTCAATAACTACAATGGTCAGTGGTCACATTAAAATCGTTGTTCATCATGAGGCCAAGGCTTACATGAGGCCAAGCCCAAAACAACAATTAGATGAAATAAAACAAAACCGAAAACGCAAATAATAAACAATAATAACGCAATTACATAAAACAAAAGACAGCATACCAATATAAAATTACAATAAACACAATAAACACAATCACTGTAACATGGGTGAGCTACATGTAATGTAATGGATAAAAGAAAACTGGGTAGAAATAGATTAAAAACTCAGGCAAGATAAACATGAGATAAACAAGGACAAATTATTTGCGGAGGAGAGCTCGTTTTAGTGGAGGTCGTGGAGCAAAACTTTCCTATGGGGGAATGCACTCCAATAACATGGCTATTTAATTTAAAGTGAAGTATCAATGAGGGTTTGGACTGGATGGCCCATGAGGTCTCTTCCAACTCTATGATTCTATGACTGTTTTTTTTCTTCTGGTGCCGACACTACTGTACTTTAAGATGCCAGACACAGTGATTTTTATTTTTCCATGTAATCATGCCTTTTTAAAACTTTGTCATTTTGCCTGACATCTTAAAGTACAGTAGCATTGGCACTAGCAAAAAAAAATCTTCAGTTGGTCTAAATCTTGATACTTAAGGTGGGATTATTTAAATACCATTTTACAAACCAGTACAATGAAGAGGGGTGTGCAAAAAACTTTAAATAAATAGATACTTAGAAGTCCTTCTGGATCATTCAATTGATCCATCTAGAATCCTTCTACTTATTTATTGCCTTTTCTTATGTGAAAAAGCAGCTTGCTTATTAAGAGCACTTAAAAAAATCCTTGACTCATACATTTACAATTTAAAATCCATGTCATAAAAGAAAAAATATAAGACATCTAACTGTGGAGTTTGTTTCCAAAAGATACCAAACCCAAGGGGAAAAAATGAGAAATGAGATCTAGGTGGCAGCACATTGTTGGTTAGACGTAAAATACTATGTACCAATCAAAACCATCAAAATGTATTCGATTACTTTGTTACAGGGTTTAGAAAATTATATTCTACAGCAAAAGAATGCATATCTTCAGCACATTTTTTTTTCCTGTAAAATTTGTTCAGATGCATTTGGTACATTTTAGAAACAAGCTCCACAATTGTTCATAAAATAACTGCAGAATGGAATGGTTTTTGGGAGGAAGAGCTATTTTGCATTGCAAATGTGAAAAGGCAAAGATAAAAAGAATGTGAACTTTAGGCCTGAGCCAACATGGTCATAAACAGTGAAATGACTAATGGGTGAATAGGATTAAATGGATATTCTTTGGCCATTTCCACATAGTGATGTTATCTATCTTTTAATTTAGTCGAGAGCATGGTAACTACTAGGTAGGGGCTATATAACAATGGTTTAAACACCTCAAACCAATCTTCCAGATACATTAGCATTCAGAATAGTGGACCTTTAAATTTTCTGAAAATAAGTGTGATCGAGCAGAGTGTTTCTCAGGTTGCCTATTATTTTTTGCCAGAGTGACAGGGATCAGCACCAATTTGTCCCCATTTGCTACAAGCATTTCCTCCTTTCTTGGGAGGGAATGGCAGCCAATGGCCTGGAAAGCAGCACCAGCCTGGGCACCAGCACTTTGAGTAGTACTGATCTAAGGGACTTAGCAGTGCCAGCAGCTCTGTACCATTACAATTCCTTGACCATCATATGCTACAATTTTAAAAAATGAAGCATCTTTGTGCATTTATTAGTAACCTTTTTACCAATCTTTTCAAATGATTATTAAATATCATTAAACTATTTTCCCTTTTAAATGGAGCACCAATATATCCTGTGAAAGGACCGATACAATTTTTTTCTAGGTTTATTGAGCATGCGGTGCAGAACCAGAGGTTCTCTTTCAAGAGTTTTATTATTGTACTGGTTTTCCCAATATAATCATCAATGCTCTTTTTCTGCAATTTGTAGGGTGACTCACAGTTTTCTTCACTAATCTATGTATGCAAGTGAGAGATCATTCTGGTTTGAAAATTAGCAGCATGTGGCTTCTTGCTATCACATGCACTGAATGAATCTATATCCCATGATACAAACCTCGCTAGAGATACACTGTCTGTTTTTCCTTTCTGTATAAAATGAAAGACAGCTTCCTGGAAGTGATCTGAGAATTGTCTTTCAGGTACCTGTCCTTGACGTTGGTAGACCTTTCTGTTCACTCTGTTGAAGATAGACGCCTCAAGCTAAGGCTGGTGAATGGCTGTGCCTACTACCTAGAACTATGTGCTCCACCAGAGAAGCAGGCCCGTCTCTTCCATCAGTGGATGCAGCTCATTGATCGACTGAAATCTCATTCTCCATATCAGGAATTTGAAAACCAACAGGAAAACAGAGCCATCATGAACACAACACTGAAGGTGAGTGCTAATTAAACAGACATAAAACTCCTCACAGATCAGGAGTTCTTAGACAACAATGTTTTGGGCACAGAAAAAGAAGACAAATAACAAATACATGTATTGTCGAAGGCTTTCATGGCTGGAGTCACTGGGTTGTTGTAGGTTTTTTCGGACTATATGGTCATGTTCTAGAGGCATTCTCTCCTGACATTTCGCCTGCATCTATGGCAAGCATCCTCTAGAACAGGCATCCTCAAACTGCGGCCCGCCAGCTGTTTGGGCCTTCAGCTCCCAGAAGTCCTGACAATTGGACAAACTCGTTAGGGCTTCTGGGAGTTGGAGGCCCAAACAGCTGGAGGCCCGCAGTTTGTGAGTGCCTACTCTAGAACATGACCATATAGCCTGAAAAAACCTACAACAACCCAACAAATATATGGGTAAAGTTGCCAGCTTGCCTAATGCCAGGGGCAGCACATTATACAATTGTGGCACTAGATTTTCTTGATTCCTTAGAGTATTGTAAAAACAAATATCTGTTGTGCATTTTCTGAAGTGTTCTCACTGGGCATCAAAGAAGAATAGAAGATGCATAGTAAAAACCCTTCACTGAGATATTTTTGTTAGTCAGTTAGGATTGCCCATAAGTTCTTTCTGGGTAACAAGAACATTTTTGAGGTCACTTTAAATAAATGTGTGTGTTTTCTGCTTTAAAAGGGAAGGTCTATGAAAAACTAAACTCCTACAGTACTGCTTTGATCAAATGTGAGCTATAGTCAGTGACAGTGCATATGATTTTGCTGGGAATTTGAAACAGATTATGTAGGTCATCCAAGGATTGCAATTTTGCAACCCCACTCAGTGCTCTTTGTTTTCTGAGTGAGTTGGCTGTAGTCTTGACAAGAAATCAAACATAAGTTACAAGATCATTTTTTCCAATGACGAAGTAGAATCTGAAGTTAGATCATTCTTCTGGCACCAGTTTGGCTTACAACTGACATTATCAGCTCTCCAAATTATCTGCTGCTCCCTGGGCAGGGGCAATCTTCTGGTGTTCATATGGCCATATCTTTCCCTTTCATCTTCTCATGATATTCCAGATTTCTTTAAATTTTTCAGTATGTGCTTGTGTAAAGACACACAAAAACCAAAACAAAAAAGGAATAAAAAAACTCATTGAGACAAAATTGGAGTTTCAAGAACTTCATGTTCGGAACACCCAATATAAAATTTGTGGTCTGTGAGCAACACTCAGTCCCAGGACTCTGAAAAACGCTTGCATTTAAATTTTGCTTCACATTAGATGGGGAGCTACATTTTGAAATGATGGTCTTTGTAATTTTCCAGACCGAAGAATTAGCTGTGGACCTCAGTGAGGATGATGATGAAGAGGATACAGTAATTTTTAGCTCCTTTGTCTGAGATCCTGGATGTAAGCAGGGAGGGGGAGAAGATGCAAAAATGGAATACTCTTTCTTTTTTTACCACTAAACCAAAAGTGTACAAGCCACGTGATCGCAGTGCAAGATAGAAAAACCGATTTCTAATTCCAGCATTATGTATGTGTGCTTTCTTCACTGGATCTACAAATTTTAGGTCCCAATTTTGACAGACCGAATAGGCTATATTTGGAATAATGAATAATGTACCGAAATCTTCCTTAAGCTTCACCCTCAAAAATAAACAATATCTGAGTGTTTCTGTTTATCGGAGAAAAATTATTTTGGAAACTTCTGAGATTTGCATATTTATCCGAGACGGTTAAAAGCACATTTTCTATTTTGTGTCCAAAATATACTTAGTGAAATGTTGAAAGATAATTACATACTGTTATCTATAAAATTATCTCTGAATCTGGAAAATCTTTTACTCTGGCTGCACATACATTTATGCATGCACTTGCTCTTGCGCTTTTTCCCCATCTCAATTTTTTTTTAATCTCTGCCAATTATTCTATTATTTATGATGTGTCCTGGGATGCATCTTCAACTGCCCTTTAAGGTAAAGCAAAACTGAATCAGTTCTGCGCCAGTTGCATGATGCTGATTCGGTGAAGTGTGGCTTTGAACCACATTAAAACGTCACGGGATACTCTGGAGATTTGCCAAAACGCCTTGGGCACATGTAATCACATGTAATCAACTGTGGTGTTTCCTATTCGGGAAGCAGCCATGGTTGGTCACACTGCTCTTGCCCCTGAATCTGCTGTTTGTGATACCTATCAGGCATGAAAATTAAGTTAGACACTGCTCAGTGCCTGGAGTGATGATACCAGAGTGCCTGGGCAACCAGAATAGGTGAGGGGAGGAAGGGAGTGATTGCTCTTCACCCTTCCCTTGCCCCCCCCCCCATTTTGCTTTCTCATTCTGTCTTGTTTTTTTGGATATCATAGCTCAAGACAAATGGCCAATTGAGGGGGGGGGGTAAGGTAAAGGTTGCTGGTGAGCGGCAATGCAGTTACCATCCAACCATTGGGGCAGTTTGGGTGCGTGGAGTGTCATCTCCAACCAGCTACTGAGCGGGCGCTATGTAGATTAACCTCCAGCAACACTGATCTAAAGTACACCATTCCTAACTACTGCTTTCTTTTTTCCTTCTAAAATGTGTCCTATCCATGTCTTTCAAGTATAGCATGATTCTTTCTTTCTCTTCTTTCTCACCACAAAAATAGAACAACATCACCTTTTATTTATTTTAGCATTTTTTAAATATTTCAATCTGGTTTGTTAGATAAACTGGAATTAAACTTCAGTTATATTAGCATTTACAAAGTTGTAGAGATGGGGTCAGAGCATAATAGGATACATATGAGGCAATCTGTGACATTGCCACGGATCTCACAGTCATGTCAGGCAGGTTCTCAGACATCTCGGGTGTGAGAAAGCAATAAATTGCTTACTGGGAGTCATAAGATTTGTTGAAAAGAATCATTTTGTTTCAGACTTGGTTGTGATGCCAAGTTGTATCAATATAGATACTGGGTCAAGAAACTATTGTCTCAGTTCATTCCTTCACTAATGTACTGAATTTTGTGTGTGTGTGTGTGTGTGTGTGTATATATATATATATATATATATATATATATATATATATATATATATATATAATGTTCCTCTTTATTTTCCCCAGAGACACTTTTGTTCAAAAACCACTACTTGTAAGTTAGAGATGTCTAGGAAGATATTTTCTGTATTTCTCTCCCTCCAATCCCCTTCTCTCATCTCATCTGTAATGCTTATGGATCCACCCTTTCATCTCATCCCATTTTTTCCCAGGGATTATCATCCTTTTCCATACATGCTTCTGAACCACAAGGCAACACATTAAAAGGTTGGGGGGGGGTGTTTTCATTTCTCCCTCTCTCCCCTTCTTTTTTTTACCTATTACACTTGCCAATCACTGCTATGGCTGCGGCCCAACAAGGAACTTTTTTTTTTGTCAAGGATGTCAGGAAAAAAAATAGAACCTACAGGGAATACTTGATCAAAAAAGAAAGAGCAATGGAAATTATAAGGGGGAGAAGAGATAGGGATAAATGACTGGTTTAACTATTATCAATTACATAGTCGATTTATGAAAGATGCTAGTGTGGAGTTCTCCAAAAGAAAATCGGCATTTGAGAACATTTTTGAAAATAATAATAAAGGATTAATTTTCAGACTATATAACTACATCTTAGAATACAATTTAGAGGAAAATGCTGGAGGTGCAAATTGCAGAAAGGTACTTTTTCATGTTTGGTAGACCTGTTGATTAATACAAAATTTTTGGGGAAAGGTGGTTAAAAAAACAAACAAATTGATTATTAAAAAGTCTTTGAAAAAACAGAAACGTGTCTTTTATTATTATTTAGAGTGAGAATCAGCAAAGAAGATAAAGAATAAGCCAATATAACTTTGTTGCTGTGAGATTAACAATAACAAAATCTGGGAAGAGGGAAAAGAATTACTCATAAAGGACTGGAGAGCAAAACTATCAGAATATATTCAAATGGCCAAGCTAACAAATGGTATTGAGAGGAAACAAAGAAGAATTTGCTAAAAAACAAAACAAAAAAAAAACAACAGAGGCTGGCATTTGGATATCTGAAAAAGAAGACAAATGTAAACTTTAAAGTACCCACAAGTGGAATTTAATAAAACAGATATAAGAGTAGGTTTTTAATAGGTGTACGGTTCATATTGAGTAGTGTCAGAAGTCATCGCTGGTGCGTTCACAGGTGTGGGGTAGGAAGGTAAGGGTTTGTTAAGATGTTATAATTGTACAGTTTCAAAAGATATTACAATTGTACAATTTCTGCTAGTTACTGTACTATTTGTACAGTAGCTAAGTGTCACCTGTAAGCCACCTTGAGTCCCACTTGGGTTAGAGAAAGGCGGAATATAAATAAGGTAAATAAATAAATACTTGATTTTTGGTTTTTGTTTGCCTTTTACACACAATAAAATTAAAATGTTTACCATTTTAAAAAATGACAGGAAAGGCAGCAAGACAAGTAAACTCACAAACATAAATGCCACTTCCTGGAAAATGAGTTCAAAATTATAGTAGGTTTGGTTTAACATTCTTAATAATGTCATCTACCAGTATTAATGCATTGATGGGTTGTTGTAGGTTTTAATGCATTGGTTTTGCTCTCTGCAATATAAAATATTAATGATATTGTTGACCTACTATTAGCAATATCATTAATTTAACACACTTTTTGCCCCAGAAACTTGCAAGAAAAATTAAATAGCACTCATTTGTTAAATAAAAATAGACAATCTACAGATGCACTCTTGCTAGCAGCGGCTAATGTATCAAGCCATTCAGAAGCCTAGAGGTAAAACCTAAGCCTCAGTTGTTTACTTGCCAAATCTTATACTCCTTAAATTATTTATACATGAATTTTGAATCAGAAAAGACCATTATATTGGTTTTACTATAGCTAATAAGCTATTTTTGAAAGCAGTAGGTCATTGGATGTATATCATCAGATCACTTTAGTTACTTATATGTAAAACAAGAACATTTTTTTTCTCTGAAAGGCTGTGAAAAACAATAACTCCTCTGTATGATGCTCAATATATAACTCAATCCATAGCCCTTTGACTCCAAAGAGATTAGGATGCAGAACAATGGCCTCAAACTACAGGAAAGGAGATTCCACCTGAGTGAACATTAGGAAGAACTTCCTAACTGTGAGACCTCTTCAGCAGTGGAACACTCTGCCCAGAGTGTGGCAGGGGCTCCTTCTTTGGAGGCTTTTAAACAGAGGCTGCATGACCATCTATCAGGGATGCTTTGAATGCAATTTTCCTGCTTCTTGGCAGTGGTTTGGACTGGATGGTCCACACGGTCTTTTCCAACTCTATGATTCTATGTTTCTATGAAAACAATTGGATTTATGCTGCAGTTTTATGCAGATTTACTTCCAAGAAAAAAAGGATAAGCTACAGAGCATAACCAATGAGACTACAGTAAGCCAGTATCACAAAGGTATATGCTTACTGCAACAAAATTAAATAGCAATAATAATAATAAGCATTCTATCAATGCTTGAAAAAGTGATTAGACAGAAATTGTTGCAACTGTAATGATTACCAAGATTGTTCTTTCTCAGCTTCACCCAGTTCCACAGTATTGCTGTTTTTGAGTTACACATCCCGGTTTTCTTTTTCACTTAATTGTTTTAGGCTGTTCTACAAGTGTCAATTCATCGTTATCGTCACTTTGTGCACCTTTCACAAGTCACTAGTTCTGCAGAATCCCAGTGGATTTTCTGTTGAAATTTTAACATTTTATGTATTTTCTGTTTTTCATGTTCCAAAGGAAAACAAAAAATCAAAAGGAACTGCCATAAACCAACATGCCAAGAAAGAGCCAACAAAAAAGCAACTCATTAAGAAAGCATCTTCCAAGCATGTCACTATTTCTGACATAGTGATTCCTATTGAAAAAGTTCGAGACACCCAAAGCCAACCCTATGTCTCTATGAAAAAAACTAGTGTACAGTCAAAGAAACAAGATGTGTGTAGTAAAGAATTATCAAAGAAGACTGTCACAAAAAGTAAATCAAGGTACATGATCTATATTGGTATAATATTAGAAATATTAGAAATATCTACTTCCCAACTTCTATTTCAACAGTTTACCTCTTACATTAAGTTCACCTATATGTAATGCTGTCTTTGGGGCTTTATTTTTGCATAGGTTGAATAGGTCTAAAATGGTCAGAGAGGACCAAAAAAAGGTGAAATTGCCCTTCTTGGGGTAGTTGGGGGTATTTTGAAACCAACAAAAATCATTTTGGGGGCTGCTGCTCTTTAAGAACTTTTGTGGGACCAATGTAGCCACCAACCCCAGAGAGTTCCCCACTCTCATTCTAAACAAAAGACATAAGATGAATCAGGGTGATGGTAGGGAGTTAATATATCCATTTCTTAAGAAATTTTGTAAACCGATCATTGCTACGTAAGAACATGGAGATACAAGCCATCAGTTTATTTCCAGACTCTTACAAAGATAGGATGGGTCTGAAAATGCAGCTTAAAAAATCCAAAGGCCAAGAAAGCCATCTCAAGTTCTGCCAAGAAAAAATATCACTGGAGCTAATTTTCAGCCAGTTTTCTCTTCCAAAGGTGTCTTTTTAAAAGAGGGGGGCCTCTAAAATAAAGGGAAAAAACCTTGAGATGAGAGAGAATGGAGATAAACATCTTTCGGAATGCATCTCCATGCCAGTTGCCAACATCTTTCAGAATGCATCTCCATGCTAGGTGCACCACCACAACTTTCCTAGATTCCAGCCTTGGTATCTAATTTAGTACTTTCAAATGTATTTTATATGATGTAATGAACAGGGACAGATTATTTTAATTCCACCTTTCCTGGTCAATATAATCTTCTCTCCATCTGGAAAGGATCATTTATCTGTCCCTTTAAAAAGAGATTGTTGTTTGCATTCTGGACTAGAGTGTTGTGCAGTTGGAGCTACTTACTGTCAGAAATTCCAAATGGTCTCTACAGGCCTGTGAATTTATATTTGTGCATATTTTTGACAAAGGCATGTGCAGAGCAAATAGCTCCACTATAAAATAGCTATGTGAGGATAATGTATAATAGTGTTCACTTATCAGATTAAGAACAATACGAAATGTAAAGTCAACAAACATGGGTTCTTAAGGCTGTGTTTATCTGATACTTCATCTCACAAGAACACCAAACTTCAAAAACTCCTTCCAAAATGACAGAGACCCAGGCCCCTAGCCAGGATTTTGATTCGGGGGGGGGGGGGGGGGGGGGGTGACTCTGAGTGAAAAAGGGTCTACCTTAGCAAACCTTTTGTATCGTTACCCCAATACCCCCATGCATATGAGATATACTGAGCATGGTGATCAGATCATGATATGAATAAACATAACAGTTTAAATAATGTACCAGTACGGCCTTTTCGCAGACCACCATAAGAATTGGGGGGGGGTGAAGCCCCCAAAGCCCCCCCCCCTCGCTACATGCCTGCAGAGAACCCAGTTCTCTTCTTGTGGAATCCAGACCCCAAATTGAAAAAAAAAACATTTTTTGCCCCCAAATTTACCCTGGATATAAGGAAGGCGGTTTCAGACCATGAAGTGATGATGGGCTGTTTTAAACCACAAGATAATTGTTTTTCTAATGGGAAGTCACCTAGAAAGGCCTCTCTGGGGCACCGAACACTGTGAAATAACCCCCATGGTGGGATTACTGTGCAAATAATTTAAATGGGGCATATTGGGTTATGGACTCCAAGTTAATTGCCCACTTTTGTCCTATGTTGAAGGAGTGGATTACTTTTCCATTACCACGTCCATGAATCCTTTGAAAATGCCCATGGCTTGTTTAGCAGATATGAGGATAGAATCCCATATTAACTGATTTGTATACTCACACCTGCAAAACCAATATAAGTTACACGTTTTTCTGTATACTTATAATGGAAGCTTCTTAAGAAGGAATCCCCAAACTATGGCCCGCAGGCCAGATGCATTCCTCCATGGTCATTTACCTGGCCCCTACCTTAAACTTTAGACTTAGGGTCACCTTAAATCTGAAACGACTTGAAGGCACACAACAACAATTAACTTGATTATCTCATCAGCCAAGAGCAGGGCCACGCTTCCATTGAAATACTGGTAAGTTTATGTTGGTTAAAATTGTTCTCCGTTTTAAATATTGTATTGTTATTTCATATACTTTTTGCACAATGAAATATGTGTTGTATGCATAGGCATTTTTTTTTAACTATAGTCTGACCCCCCAACATTCTGAGGGGCCATGAACCAGCCCTCTGCTTTAAAAGTTTCAGGACCCCAATTCTTAAGTTTCTGCTTCTTCTTACTGCTTTCAGAGAACGTGGATTTTTTTCCATTTCAGAAAAAAGACTCCAAACTTCAGGTATGAATTAAATTTATTTTTTTTGAGCATTTCCAAATTTTCTGTCATTCTGTTCTCATGACTTACATTAACTTTGGCCCACATAACAACATTTGTTTAAAATTCATGGAAGAAAATGCTAATTGGCATCTGGATTTGGTTAGGAACTATAAGAGATTTTACAAATCTGGCTATGACTTTCCAAACAGGAATATAGTCAACTCTCCACAACCACAGGTTCTGTATCAACAGATCCAATCAACCACAGCTAAAAAAAAAAAATCTTGAAAGCAAATTCTGATTTTGCTGCATGCTGAGCACTAATTTGATGTGGCATACCTTGCTCTAACCTCCTTCAATTTCACAAATCCTCAGTCCTGGAGCCCACTGTATAGATATATCATGCAATTATCTACATGCTTTCCTCATGCACGTGCATCTGAAAGACTGTAGTTGCTGTGCACCATGACGAAATCAAAATGCACTGCCCTGTAAGCAGGCTGTCAATCTTTAAGCAGATAAACACTTCCACTGAGTACCTTAATCAGGGCTATTTTATGACCCCAGTGAGCATTCCAATATATTGTGGGTTATAAAAATGTTCAATGTCCACCGGAGTGTGTAAAAGTGCATCATCATGGAGACCTCAATACCAAACCCTCAGAGCCAGAAAACATACATACACACAAAGTAGAGCATTTGTTTGAATCACAGGAAGACCCCTTTAGGAGAGAGGGGGTTTAAATTGTACCATTAGATTTGTTGGGACAACCTTTTTTACTATTAAAACTATGTGGTAAGTGGCTGAAACGTGGGAATTTACAGCTTACACATAGCAATGTCATAAAATATCCACTTCATAGGTGTAATTCTGTGTGAATTGTGTAATGAAACATGATTTGGAGAAACTACAGTGTCCCATTCACTGGGATAAAAGTTAACAAGATTATATTTTCAATTTTAAATAAAAACATTAAGATGCCTCTTCCTCCTTTTACTGCTTAATTCATATGATTTCTACTACTTCTTTTTAAAACATTCATTTTCCTGACTGTGCTAGTGTCTGCTGTTTTCCATAGTGCTTCTTATTTAGTTTCCAGATTGCCAATTCAATCTAGCGAGGTTTCTTTATGTGGATTATTGCTTGATTGTTGATCTCTATCAGCACACCCACTTCTAAAAAATTATCAGTTTTAAGATAGTTTGTCATCTGTTCAGAAGGCCAAAACTATATCCAGCCTGACCTGTGAAAAATTCTGGGGGACAGGCAGGTTCTGATTAACATCATGTATATATACGGTAGTCCCAATTTATAATTTCAAAACAATTCCAAAAGGACTGTGAAACACCTCGCACTTATATAAACTCAGAGTTTTGCCCATCTCAAAAACTCAGCATGACAGAAGATTCAAATATTGAGAGATATATTGCAAAGTTAATAAATAGTTTGCTGATAAAGAAATCAGAATCACTACCAGAAAACTAACCGCTTTTCTCAGCTCTCAGGCGACTCAAGGCAGTGAACAACATCAATACAAAACATCACGAACAAGTACAGGGCAATTAAAAACAATTGTAATGTAAATCATTAAACATCCGTATAACAATCATTAGCGCCTCAACAGTAAAATCAGAATCCAGTCTCATCATCCATTATTCCGTATTCCTATGTTCAATTACACTGTTTAATTAAATGCTTGATTATCCATTTATGTTGGATAAGCGAGCCTTTACTGTATTTGCTAAGAAGCAAATTTCCTCTGCCCTAAGATTGTCTGAAATGAAAAACAGGACATACACTTAAATAATGACTGCTCTCTAAGAGTCAAAAATCCATTTCCAAAGTCCAAATCAGGGAAAATGTATAAATTTGTGGAAGAAGAACAAACTTTTAAAAACCCTGCAATCACAACATTATCTAACAGGAACCTTTGCCTGAATAGAAACCTCCCATCTTGTAATAACACAAAGTATAAAAAGATACTGGTATTTTATCCTTCCCACTTTCTCTTTCTATTACAAACCGGATAATTGTCATTTAAATTGGAGAAAACATGAAGGCAAGCAATGTACAAGTAGTCCTGGAAAGACCTGGCAAGACCTGGCTAGGATAAACGTGTAATGCGTGTTTTATAAATCTATAAAATGTAAAGAATACTACGTATATTGCAAGCAATATTGTACAGACATTGTGTGCTTAACATAACAATTTTCTATTTATTAGTAAATGTGTGCAGTAATATTTTTCAACACAGAGAGGGAGAATTAAATGGTTACATGTGTTTGTTTTTATAGAACACTTCTATAAACAATCAAAAACTGATCTCTTCCTTCACATTTTTCTCTCCCACCCTCCCCTACACTATTGCTTTCTTCTTGCTGTACTTGCCTCCTTCAATTCTTCAGCTATTTCTGGTTTAGCTGCCCTTTCCTTGATTAACCTTTTTTTCCCTCTTCTGTTCTAAATCATGTCATCTTGTTTTGTTTTAAACTCTTTTCTCTTTCTTTATTGCCTGCTTTCCTGGGCTGTATTTCCTCATGTTCCTCCTGTTTCTTTACAGGAATCCTAAAGATCGTCAGTAAAACCGGAATACCTTATTACAAGTAA